GCGTTCGAAAGAAGTGCCTTTGACCGCATAAGGGCACAAATCCTACAGGTCGAGATATTCTGGATGTATATTTCACATATCCGATTTTTATTGATGATAATAACAAATGGGCCTGACCAGCACCGCGAAGTGGTCCTGGAATCCTTTGTGGAACTGGAAGAGTAAGGCTAAAATGTCTATTTTCGTGATGTTGTAACTGTTAAGCTATCCAGAGAACAGCGACAAAGTTGTAAAAACATATTCGCTCGGTGTAAGCCTTGAACCGTACGACCTGATTTTGGAAGAAATCCAAAACATCACTTTGCGATGGTTGCTGTTGCCTGATCCCTTGGACGATCCGCAGCCACATAGAGGGGTATATCACATCACATTGGTCCGCTCCCTGACGCGGGAGGCCTTCTGACCCGCGCAGTTGACCCCGGATCAACGTATGAAACGCCATTGACGCGACAACATCCCTGGTCGCCGCAGATGGTCAAATGATTGGCACATAGATCCCAGCTCGGCTTAAGGGACCCATTCTGCGATTGGGCTGGACGGTCCACTGTTTGGAACTGGAGACCCTTAGTTTTCGGGGTGTGGCACGCCCACGTAGCCTGCCAACCGCTCCGTAGGTGATAGTATCGCCAACTGTCGACGTCGCTTTGTCGGAGGTTCGGAAGGAAAATATGGTTCTTTGTGTTGCCAGATCAACAGCTCTGAAACATATCGAAGCGTATCGGGGGTTCACAATTATGTATACAAACGGCTCCAAAACGGATGCGGGTGTTGGTTCCGCCTTCGTGTGTGGCCGCGATACTCGATCCTTTACACCGCCACCCCATGCGTCCGTGCATACTGCAGAGGTCGTGGCCATCATTAAGGCGTTTTGCTTTGTAGAGGTGGTCGAAAACAGTCTCCACGTGATTTTGTCGGATTTCCTAAGTGCCCTTTCGGCATTAAGGCGTCTTTATCCGGTAAATCCCCTTACACAGGATGTTTTATGCGTCTCGACACTCTGTACCAGGTTGGCAAGACCATAGTACTTTGCTGGATTCCGAGCCACGTTGGCATTGCGGGAAGTGGGCTGGCTGACGCTGCCGCAAAGCGCGCTACTCTTCGTCCCTGTCGCAGATCGTTTCCAATACTCGCTACAGACCTATACTCAGCCATCTCTACCTTTTTGCGCGGGAAATGGCAGAGCACATGGGATGCGATGGGCACCAGTAAATTGAAAGGCATTAAGCCGATTGTTCAGGAATGGCAGTCATGCTATCGAAGGTCTAGACGGGAGGAAGTTATCCTGTGTCGCTTGGGGACTGGCCACACTTATGCTGCAGATCGATACTTACTATGTCGCGACGAACTACCACGATGTTGCCATTGCAACGCCACGCTCACAGTGGAACATGTGGTGTTTATGGAGCTGAATCAGCTCGTGCGCTGTCTGGTTTGGTGCGAACAATGAAACGCGTGGTAACGGTCCGTGAGGGGGTTCTTTATTATTCCAAGGTCAACAGGGGTTCATTTTATATGGTAGCCCGGAAGGGTATGACAATACAGGGGAATGTGAATGATTTCCATTGCAACGGTACATAGACACCGCATCCCTCCCCTTCTCCAGATGATTGCTTACACATAGTCCTTAATCCACGCGGGCTGGCGCCGCGCGCGGTGACGCATGGTCGGGGAACACACTGGCGCCGGGGACAAGGTCGTGGCGTGGGAGGACGCAGGAGCGGCGCGGAGAGTAGGAGTGTGGCGCCGCATGGACTCGAGGATGTCATCCATCGCCTGTTCTTCGTCCTCCTCTTCGGAGTGATCAGTATCCTGTCCATGGAGGTACGGGCACGCTTTGAATAGCGACGCGTTTCTCGTCACCCCGTGACATTCACGTGATGCGGTGACCATGGTGCCTTGGATTCCGGTCACTCCGTACGGCGCTGGGCAAAACCGAGGTGTCAGCTTTCGCTTCTCGAATTCGGGGATCAGAACTTGGTCTCCGATTTGAAGATTCGTCGTCTTGGCTCCACGGTCAGCTTGTTCTTTCATCTTCTTCTTCGCGGCTGCGTCCGTCTCGCGGAGTTTTCCATCATCCGGATGTGTCGTCATCGGAGACGGCAGCATGGTCTTCACTATGCGACCGTACAGTAGTTCATCCGGGCTCTTTTGAGTAGTGGTATGCGGTGTTGACCGGTAGTTTCATAGACACTGGTGCATTCATCTTAATCGGGCGTTGCTCGACGACAGCAGCTTTCACAGCTTTTGATAGCGTTCTTATGAAATGTTTTGCTTCTCCGTTAGCTCTTGGCCGCAACGGGGTGATCTTGCGGTACTTGAAGCCGATGTAGTTCGCGAACTGAGCGAACTCATGTCCATTAAACGGATGTCTGTTGTCTGTTCTCATGATATCGGGAATCCCGAACATCGAGGAGATGTCGTCCAGAATGGGGGATGATGGTACGAGCAGAGGTTGATTTTGTCGTACGAACAACTGGTATTCGTCTATCAACTGGTATTAGTCAATCTCGAGTAGTCGTCGATTACAACAAAGATATATTCGCCCGATGGCAAGGGTCCACAGAAGTCAGCAGGCAACTCTTTCTATGGTCCAGTTGGGAGCAGTGACATCTGAAGAGATTCCTTCTGTCGAACTGGATCGGTGGCTTGGCATGCAGCACAGGTCTTGACGGTGGCTTCCACCTGTGTATCGATGCGTGGGAACCACACTTCCTATCTCAGGACTCTCTTCGTCTTGACGATGCCTTGGTGTCCTTGATGGGCCAGGGCGATGGTCTTGCTTTGCAGCGCAGCGGGGATGACCAGTCGATTTCCACGAAGGATGACGGTGTTGTCTTCTAAAGTCAGATCTCCATGGATGGCCGCGAAGCATTTCAGGGCGTTGTAGTCGACGTCGTCTCGACCGGTTTCTTGAGATCGGTGAGTGACGGTGTGTCACTGGTTCGACTTCACCAGCTTGAGGACCTGGAGAGTTCCATCTCTTGCGGTGTAGGTCTGGATTTCCTCGAGAGCCATTAGACGATTTCGAGATCGTACGGTTGCAGGCGCAGACCCCAGCTCTCGACCCTTGCTGGAGGCTTCGACGCGGGGTTGCTCCAGATGAGTTGCACGGGCTTGTGGTCCGTTACAACTTTCACCTTCTGGCCGTGTATGTACAGGTGGAAGTGTTCGCATCCCCAGACGATGGCGAGGTCTTCTCGCTCGGTTTGCGAATACCGGATTTCCACGCTGGTCAGCGCACGACTTCCGTATGCGATTACCTTGATGTCCTCAGGATTTTCAGGTGTGGTCTGGCACAGGATGGCACCGAGTCCGTGCGGACTGGCGTCTACGATAGGGCACGTATCCTTCTTCTGATCGAAGTAGGACATCCTTCCAGAGCTACTCAGAGCTTCTCTGAGTCGCTAAAAGGAAGTCTCGTGATGGCTGGTTCACTTCTGAGGAGTGTCTTTCTGTGTGCAGGACACTTGGTGGGACCACCGTCGTGCGGGTAGGTTCCCCCGCACAACCCACATGTGGTCGAGGGCTGCGGCGTCGACGTGGATTTGTGTCGATTGGTAGGCGCTTGATGGTGCCGGGGACGGTAGGTTTGGACAAGGTTAATTGCCATATCAGCACCGCGCTCGATATTTGCAGCCTGTGCTTCCGAAATGTCCAACGCTCTTCAGATGGCCAGCAGCTCGGTGAGGGTCATTGTTTCGCGCAGTGCGCGACGTCTAAGCCTGGTCAATTTGCAGGCTTGAATAATGCGAGTCTTAATTTCGTGATCTACATCGGTGAACTCACACCACTTCGCGAGCATTCACAGACGGGTTGCAAACTGATCCAGAGTCTCTCCATTCTCCTAGTACGCAGATTGGAACGTATACACTTCAAACTGGAAGTTTATCTTCGGGCTGAAGTGCGACATCAAAGCGTCTTATGTGCTGCCATATAAATCCGTCCTGTTTTTGTCGGAAGTCGTCGGTGGCGCGTCAAATATGTTGCGCGCAGCTTCTGCGTAATGCGGTGGCAGGGCCTTTTTCGGTTAGTATAAGTGATATTTGCGGCGATCAGGTAGTTATCAAAGCAGGGTAACCATTTGGTCCATCGCGGACCCACGGATTGTTCGATGGGGTCGAACGGCGGTAATGCGGGCGGCAATATGGCGGTCGCCGTATTGGCAGCATCTGAAATTTGGTTTTGGATCTTGGGGGAGAAACAAAAGTATTAAAATCGCGGCTTGTAGTGAGAACAAAAAACCCAGGTGAATTTGCACTGCATTCACAGCTGGCACTGAAGGACATTCTTTGGGAGCAGATGATAGTTAACACCATACTCCTGCTGATGTCAGTGGTTGCCAAAGACCATTAGAAATTGGCTGCTTGCAATTCATAAATTGTCTAGCTTCATAGGTAAGTCCTTCCTTCCTAATTCTATGCTTGCACCTACTGTATTTTTAAGCTATGGAGCTGATAGAAATTTGCTGATATTGATAGTTCTGTCATAAAAGTGTCAGTCTCAATAAAGGCTGGTGGAAGCAGATACTTAAAATGTCATACACCAGTCACACCATTCCCCAGAGCACATAATGCTAGGCTTGTGATTGAACTGTCATGCAAGCCACAATATAAATAGGAGCATCTGGGGCATAGTAGTTATTGCAGCTATGTTCTAGCCAAGGTGCAATCTTCCTAACCCTAGGCTTTTACTGACCTAGATGTACTTAAGTTGGGAACAAGTGCATAGTTCCCTATTTCGTTGGATAGGATGCTAGCCCCTTGCCAACTTCGAGAAAAAAGCCCAGTCAAAGTTGGGGAGGACATGGTTTGTACCATGTGTTTGGGATAAAATATTTCTCTGCTTGCTCCCCCTCCCCCCCCCCTCCCCCCCCCCCCCACAAAGTTATGTGCAAAACTACACCACCTGGAACATCAGGCTGCTGCATGATCAGGTCTCAGAGGCCAATGCAGCAGGGGCAGAGGAATTATTTCCTCCTCACAGAGCAATCCAGCCACATAAAGTTAGCATCACTAAATCTACTCACCAGCTTTGAGTCTGAAACAATAGTTTTCTCAGTGTATGACACTGAGCTAAATCTATATATTGCCTGTGTCTATAATACCAATCAGTGGGCCATCACCTATCCTGGTACAGCTACTCCAAAACAAGGTCAGTTGGCTACATAACTGATGTGCACGCAATAGCAGTCTTCAACGACAGCCACTGCAGGTTATTGGTTTTTATATTGCTTTTTAGGATCTTAGTGATCTGGTAAAAAATACTGGTGGGCAAAACTTGACTAAAATGAATTACAGGGTGGGAAATTAGTTTTTTTTTGCTGGTGGCGGAGTACAAATTTTTGTGGTCGGAGTACAAACTTGCCTGCAAGCAGAGGTCTGTCTAATGTGGAATGAGTGTCTGCACAATGGGCCTTGCTTGGAGTACATCACATACTGCCTTTAATGGGTCAACATTTTCCCGATGTTTTTCTGGCAAAAATTAGTGTCAGCATGCAATTTTGCATTTCAGTGGAACAGAGCACTTCTTGTGAGTGAGGGTGCCACAATGATCCCATCCATATCCCTTTAGTGCTACTAGCTCACCTATACATGCAAAGATCGAGTAATGGTACATGTTGATAAGAAATATACAGTTAGAGGGGTTAACAACAAAGCTTTATACATATGCATTTACAGGTGCATCATGCAAAGCTTAGTTACTTATCATTACCTATCTACATGCAAACTTACACAATATCAAAATGATAAATCAGGTGCATCCTCTGCTTACTGACAAACTGAATTGTGGACAACTGCTGCGCATCACACCCTGGTTTTTGAATGAGTCTTAGGCAGCTGCAACTGGCTATGAAAGCCTTATGTATGTGACATCACTAACATGTTGTCCTTTTGGCCTTTACATAATTAATATAAACATACCAAAAATGTTCCTCTTCCTATCCTTCTCTTTCTGCTCTTCTCCTCTTTCAGTTCCTCACCTTCTCTTTCTGTCACTCTTCTCCTTCCACTCCTCCTGCACTTCTGCTCCTCCTCTCTTCCTGCAGCTCCTGTTATCCCTCTCCTCTTCTCCAAGTTCCCTATGATCCTATGTAGGGACAATTTTAATAGTGTCACTGCAAGACCTTATGCCTGACAGCAAGGAACATGGCAGCATTGCCACCTGTCAGTTTACAGCAATTATAACCGCAGGCTGAAAAGAGGCCAGCCTCATATTTGATCCCACATGGGAAACCTGAGCCTAGCATTAATGTTGTATATAGATATCTTAGTACCTATGTACCTACCCACCATGCTGTAGGTAGAGTAGGTTATACCAAGGTGATTCTGTACCAGCCTGCAGCAGTAAACATTTATAGATGAGTCCCCCGGTATTTATTTACCTTTTTTGGAATGACTTAATAGCGGTCCAAAGCTAAATCCCAAGTAACTTTAGAAGTGTGGATGCATGCTGTGTGAAAATTGAAGACAACCAATTCCACTTGGCCTCACTGAATACCTCAAACCCGCAGCTACGATGCACATAACCCCAAGCAGCTTCACTCACCCTTCGCCCTCCTCACTCCCACCACATCAAGACAACCAAACCATGCACAGGAGTTCTGGCGCATTCACAGACATTGTGATGGCATTCTAGCACTCGTCAATGGGGCAACCAAGTACAAGTACCACGGGACGGTCCTGAAATGACAGGCTGTGATGAATAGTCTAAGAAAAGCCATTTATGCAGTTGCACCAACAAAAATTGTTAAGTTTGTGGTAGAAAAATCATAGAGCTTTACATTCATGCATTTCAAGTTGCTATTTTCCACCTACAAATATATATTATCTTCTGGTGGCGCAAGACAACGCCGAGATAATGCAGTACCTGTACTACAAATCTATAGATATTTCTCATTCTAAGGCATATCATGCCATTTCAATACCCTCTGAGGAAGGCCCGTATCTGGGCGATACCAAAACACATAAATTTTTCGATTAAATTTGGCTAACTTTGCTAAAAACTTGCTGTTCTCCGGCTTGTACTCTGGCTTGTTCTCCCCGGGTCTCCCCATAGGCCCCATTGTGAGAAGGGCAACCAAGTACTGCGATTTTTCCCACTGGGTTATGGACCATCTCTATCTTACAAGTATAGGTACTGGTTGAGCCTGGAGACGATACCGTTGTTAAATAAGTAAGATATCCTCGAATCTTCAAAGACTGACATTTACCGATTCCTGAAAAAGTGGTTGATGTACTATCATTTATACAATAGTAATAAGTTTTGGAATGCTGCATGTCACAAACTCCCATTTTGGGAACGTAATTCCCGATGACATTTAAGAACCCAAAAGGAGCCGTTACCACCAAAAGTGCCGCCTACAAAGTGATATTCGGGTGCCATTTAAGGTCATGATTCTATCTCAAAAGTGCCGATATGTGGTGTGTTTGAATGCTATGATTTTGAGTTTAATTGCAAGTTGGATGGTGATTGGTGGCTCGTATGGCAGGAGCAGGAATGAAACAGGCGCTTTGAAAAGGATGTGCAATGCTGCAATCTTTGAAATTTTCCCACCAAACTGTTTGCAAGATGCACGTCCTTTGGTAAAATCGCTAACATGTTATCTTAATATGAGGTAAGTTAAGAGCATAGTTGGCATGCTGGACTTCTTGCTCGGCGAGTCTTTGAATGACCTAGTTTAAAAAGATGTGCCATCGATGATTTTGGTGCTGCTAGTGGTTTTCTGGTGGAACGAATATTGTTGTAGGTGTCTGTCGCGACGCGGACCTTCACTGCTCGAAAATGCACTCGTCAGTTGCAGGAGGCTGGGGTGCCGTTGGTTTCGGGTACGGGAGGCGATGGGTTCGTCGCGCGGTGGGAGCCAGAGCCGTGATGTTTGTCCGTTTCTTGAAAGGTATCGGTAGGTGCGTGCGTCGTGGAGAATGCGGTCTTACTTACTCAGGTGCGCCATATATTTTCCCCACAGGTAATGACATGCGAGGTATGTGGCAGCGGTAGGTGCCTAAAACAAGCACATTTCATATTTCAGTTTATTCCATTCCCACAGAAGTAATTCACATGAGTTGGCATCACCATTCAGGAGTTGCATAGGCTTGTTCAAGTGCATCTAACCCATGTAATACAATGATGAAGGACATTGACATGAATGCCCGGGATTGGCCAGCTCCTGCAGGATTGCAGATGCTTGTATCCATTTCTTGGTGCTCCGTATGTTTTGTCCCTGGAAATCAAATAAAAGGTATAACTCACTTTATGAAAGCAAAGTTCATGCACCCTCCTGGCTATCAAGAAAGCAAAACTGTCTGCCTTGGTACTTATACTCAGGCTCATACATTTGCAATGGTGTCTGCTTTGTGGGGCGACTGCAGCGTTTGTCTGGAGTACAAAAATTATCATTCTTACCAGTCAAGAGCCTGGAGTGCAAAATTTCGTGGTGCCACATCCACCAGAAAATGGAGGTTTTCCCATACTGAAATGAAAGGTAGATAAAAAATGTCAATAATGATATAAATGCATCAGTAAAAGTTATGGTCAACAGAGAACAAGAAACCCTGCTTTAGCTTTATACTCAGGTCATGATTCTGTGGCGACTTTCTGTAAATTGATAGAAAACATTCCATATTTTTGTGTAATGACCCTTTTATGCATTTTCATCACGCATCCAGCTCGGATTTCTTGGTGGAGAATATGCCTTCTCCAATGTTAAGTCCTCCCCAAGGGCTGGAGACTCGCAGGGCCGTGATTTTCCACGTGCCCAAGGTAGTGTTTGTGATGGTGTTTTGACGTCATCATTATACGTTCTTTATGGGCGCCATATGACCAACGTAGTTGGTGCGCCCCAAAGCCCAAATCATCATCGTCATATGTTCTTTATGGTACCCATTTTTGATAGTTTCAAATACAACTTTGATAAAAGTGCTATATAAAAGGATGAAAAATGATCTACTCATCAATATATAAGTATTTCACCCCATATTTAGAGGTACATGTACATATGACATCATATACTTTCACATAAGTTTTTCTTGTGTTACTATTATTTCTACGTGCCATCCAGAAACGCTGAATCGCGCGGTGTACGAAATATTTTCTGCGCTTCTCCCTGGTCCGTCAAGAGACGCTGTTGTTTTGGGTGCGGGCTCGGGCCCGGTGTGTGAGCGCGTTGGTGTCGTTATTGGACGGTAGGTGGGTTAAACATGTGCTGGTGATCAGCAACAGGCCTGAGCACCGAATGCATTGCAAGGAAAGATTGTTTGTGATATGGTGAAGATATTCGGCTGTAACCCGGAAGCAGTGTTGCTTGTTCAGTGGTGAGTGCTGTGCGTGATGCTGTTGAAGTTGCAGGAACAGGCTGCCTTCATCTGACGCCGCTTACTGAGACAAGTTTTTTACATTCTTTCCAGTGTCTATTCGTGGAGAACAAAATCTCTTGCGGCTAAAACACTAAGAAAGCCCCATTTTTGAGACGCGGATCTCGGCTCACCTCGATACGCAGATAACTTGCCGTATAGATTAGGTACAGAGTTCTGGGGTACTGTAAGCTCTCCGGCGAGTTCGAAAAATACCTCGTCGCCAAATGTGGTGTTCATGGAGCTGGATCAGCTCGTGTATTGTCTGGTTCAGTGCAAACAATGAAATGCGTGGTAACGATCGGTGGGGAAGTTCTGTGTTATTCCAAAGTCCATGGGGTTCATTTCGTATGGTCGCCCGGGAGGGTACGGCAATACAGGGGAATGTGAATGATTTGCATTGCAACTATACATACACACTATAGAACATGTGCTTGCATGCTGTCCCCATACTATGCGTCGAGCATCTGAGGTACTTTGGCCTGGCAGCGCCATCCCTGACGTTCTCTGATTTACTATGTGACAGCTCACTATGTATCAAACATACCCTCAGGTTTCTATCGCATGTTAAGTTCTGCACTTTATATACACTTGCCTGAATAGTTCATACCGCATGTAGGAAGTTTTTAGGTTGCCAAAAATTTATTATCAATATGGTATAATGGGTTCACATATTCAGACATCATTGATGGCATGTTCCTGCCACAACTCAGCCTTTTCCATTTCTGACCTATAAACATTTTTAGCCATTTACCCTCTTAGGTAGTCACTTAGCTGTTATGGGCTCAAAATGACCACAGTAGTCAGCACGCCCTAAAACTCCAATAAACAACAACAGCAACACTTTATTTTTCACATTCATCATATGCCTAGGTGGTAACACAGACTGCTTGCTATTGGGCATCTTAATCTGGTAGGTGCAAGATTCGTGCTCTTGCAGATAGCAATAAGCGGCTCATGATGGAAGCAGCAAGTCTCAAGCTGTTGCACTGGTTTAATTTTGTTTAATTAAATCTCTGGTTTAATTTTGTCCTGAAACAGGGAAATACAATGAGGTTTTCCAAAAACTTTGTTGTATCATGAAGTACAAAACATTTCATTTTACTTAATCATAGTCATAAAGTACAAACCTCCTGGTGTACATTATACCAGGAAACACCAAACTTTCCAACACTGCATCAGGGAGTGAACCTGAGGGTGGGGGAGCTCAGCAGGAGGAGCATATCACACTCCCTTCCCCACATGCTGGGATCATAAGTGGACCAGGGTAGGTGTCTTAGGTAAAATGTGGGCTGGATGGGGTCAAAAGAGAAATGCATGCTAGCGCACAAAACTGTGTCCTCCCACCACCTTAGGCTAGCCAGCTGCCTGGTACAACCATAGCCATAACACAACATAACACAACAATTTATCATTAATAAAGTATTAATTGAGCCGCCATGAAGCACTGATGACAGATGTCCGCGTGCGCTCCGCTCCTTACTGCGATAAATCTCCCGCTAGATGGCAGGAGGTCCGCGCGCGGTCGCTGAAAACAATAACTGAAGCCCCCAGTGGCCGATCCTTCCAATCAGAATTTGATCTTTGCATTTACCACTGGGTGTGCCACACCTAATCTCTCCTGCAGTTCCAAATTTGTCGGCGGCTCTGATGAAATTTGGTGACAGTTCCAACTTTGGTGACTCGGTATTACCTCTCCATGGCTCATCTCATTGCACCGAATCATTTGGGGAAGATTCCAAGGCGATCGGGCTAGCCATTTCGGAGAACATGTGTGTCTGTGTCATATGCTGGATTTTTTAACCGTGCCTGGTGCGGGTTAATCAAAGTTGGCGAAGGTATGTAGTTGCGTGGAAGCCATTGTGTGTACTTCGGGCCAAAGCCATCATGTTAGAATCATGTGAGAATTCATGAAGCCTAGGCCGAGAAGTGACCATCAATGTATCCCACTTTTGCTAGTTAACACGCGCTCGGGTAGGGGGTCAAATTTGCCCCCCGAAGGTTTTCCCAGAAAGGTTTCCGAACGGCGCGGAGTAGCTGCGCCAAATTCTGCGTCGCTCTAGACAATTGAATAGCGGATCGTCTGGCATCAAAAATTTAGATGTACCGTGTAAGGTCGCTGACCTATGGAGGGTCAAAGTCAGGCCAGGGTTTCAGCGAAGTCAAGTCCTAGGGAATCGTTCAATCCGATCAAACAACGGACGAAGTGATAGACGGAGTGTTGGACGAAGTGATACATCTCTACGATACTTTCGTAGGCGACACAAAAATTGAGTAAACAAATAAGATTGACCGGGGGCAGGTGTAAATCTCAGACCAACATCAAAACCAACCTATTTTATACTCTCAGGCTTGCTGTATGGGCTGGTTTCTGGTAATTGTTTCGAATATATTGATAGCAGGGGCCCTGGTCAACATTTTGTTTTTAGAACACACTGCCTAGCGTAATCTTTGTTGTTATTCAAATGCAAAACCTCAAAGCAGTCATATCATTTTGATCACCATAACCTTAAGAAGGTCAAACAAGGTCACTGACATTAATTGAGCGGGTGACTTTTTGCTTAGAACAGTTGCCTAGATTCTAGGGGTTCTTTGAAGGCCAATCTGGAATTTGACCTTGTTTGACCTTATCTGTCCTGAAGATTATGACCTAGGAACCTCAAACTTTGACCTAAGTAGATTCGCGCACAGGTCAACACGCCCTGCGAATTTGGTGTATCTAGCTCTCTTATTTCCCGAGATCTCAAAGGGGTCAAATGGACCCACGCCCGAGCGAAGGGTATCCAGCTGGCCACCCGGGCGCGTGTTAAGTTATACTCATAGCAAATGCACACTATCTCTTGTCTGATATTGTTTGGGTATTGCTGTCGGGTGCCACTGTTATGCGATTGTATCTGAAAAGGGTTTGCTTTATTGTGGCTTCTACAGAGGGGCAGTGCAATAACAGGTACTGACATTATTGCTGTGCCCAGGGACAATGTTGTAGTTCATACCATGAGCAGAGTGAGTGAAAGGTCTAACTTAACTGTCCTGTTTGTTGCAGGTAGAAGGCAGCTTCTCAAGCTCCATTTTTTTTTCTGTAAAGAAACGACCTGTGAATTGTGTTCATGGCCCAAGTCATGTAAAAGGCTGCCTTTGTTGTTTAGATTAAAGAGCTGAGTTAGCTATATGAATGTAGAGCCAAGATTAGTTGAGTATCAATTTTTGTTGTTGGCATCCTATTGCCCATAATACCATATATTTTGTATCACAAACATGGTGAGTCATCTCATGGCCATGCCCAAAAAAAGATACATTTTGCTGCTGCTGTGTTTTGGTGGCGTTTCTTCATTTTTGCTCTTGCAAAACAAGAGCTTCTTGAAGACCCCTGAGTATGAACCTGGAGATATTGAAACTACTGTACATTGCAAGTCAAACCTTGTGGTGAGTTTATTACCAGTGGTGATGGGTTTGGTCAACTCACATAATGTTGCATTATTCACCTTGGCTGTATCTGATTAGTGCTAGGTTTGTAAATGTCATTTCCTCCTTTTTTCCTTGCTTATATCCAAACAGTAGATTCCTGCTGCAGTCCCAGTATATAATCCTAGTCGGCCAGCATGGTGGAATAGAGAAATATCAGTAAGCATGTCTGGTGACCTGTGTGAGCCAAACATACTAGATGTGGCAGCAAATGCCTAAGAATAGCTTAAGTCATGCTTTCCGTTTCCCTATGAATTGTATCCAAAGCAACAACATGCTTCCAATACTGTCCTATGCAATGCTGCCCCTTTTAGCAGCAAGCAGGATGTCCATATTTTCACTTGGAATAGGTCACACCCAGTTTCCCCAAAAATGCCTTGCCAAAATGTACTCAAGGATATTGCATAAGTTACATAACAAGTAAGTGATGGGGCAAGCACCCGCAGCAGCACTGTCTATGGGTCGAGTTGTTTTCAGGTCGTGAGGGAGCATCACTTCCCAAGTTTTCCTGGACCTTAACAAGAAGTAAAAATCACCCAAGAGGCTGCTGATAACAGCGCCAGTGGGAAGAAGGTCATTTGTACTTGCTCATTAAGCTATTTTATGTGGCTATACTCCAATCAGTCCTGTTCATTATGTCTGCTTGCTCTGAAAACCCATCAGCTGATTGCTAGGATGGCATTTGCCAGCCACATGTTATGTAGCAGTGTATTGCCTGTCATAAAACGTGATACACATCTGCCATCATGGCTATCTTGCAATGGAAACAAAAAATGTACAAACCATTTGTGAAAACATGCTCTTCACCTGCCCTAAAATATCAATGTTTTTGTGGCAACCAAGTTAGGATTGACCACTTCAAAAGTGTCCTTTATTAACCTTGAATCCTGTCTGGCCAGTGAAACGGCAGGATTTGAGTGGTGTCATGGTGAGGTCATGGATGCTTCAGTAAACCTGAAATAATGTGCGTGAAATAATGTGCACATGCTAGTAGGTGTGTAGCTAAAAAACTAGAGCTCTTTAGGCCTTAAGGACAGGGCTGTGAACTGCACCAAATGATCTTCAAGATGGCCGTTTCAGCCCAAAACCCTTTATAAATGTCAAACACTTCCTTTAACTTTGAACCTTGAATAGACCACTGACAGCGCCGCCGGAGATGTGTTGTATCTCTGAAATTCAGGGGATGCTGAAAAATTAAGAGGAGTTTCTCAAAATCCATACATGGTACATCAAACCAATATTTCGTATCTCAGATGTCAAGCATACTTCTTCATGTCTCAAATGTCTGTGCGGCGAAAAGGTTGAAACTTGGCGCTGCGCGACGCGTTGTCAGCATTGTACGCTCGGTATTCTGCTGTCTGTTAACGTTGTAATCGATGATTTAGTACAACGTATGCCATTCTTGGCCTTTGCGTACTTCATTTGAGACCGAGATCACACGGGGTCAAGGATTGATTTTAATGTCGATTTAGCCCAGAAAGCCGTCATATCACGGCCAAAATGACGCTTCAACAAGTCTTCCCCCTTCTATGTAGCTTTGCAACTATGGCAAGCATGTGACTTGGCCTCGTTTGACCCAGTTAAGGGGGGGGGGGGTCTCCTGAAGAACATAGCGTATCATAACCTAAATGTAAAATAAGATTAGGCATGGGATCGCTGTTCCTGGTTTTAGTTTGCTTTAGCACATATGATGTGGATCCCGAAGGGGAATTTCCTCAGCCCATCCATAACCATCCGCCCCTATATTGCAGAATGCCATGAAACGCCGAGGTTGGCACTCGGCTTCTCCCATGTAAATCCGAATAAATGCTTGTGGACTATGAATAGTTAAGGTTGCTGTTTTATGATCCTGAATGTTAGCTGCAGCAAACGCTTTGATGCTGTAGAAGAGTCGCTGAAATTGGGGCAGCTGGCTGCCATTACAACCACATTGGTCACCATGGTTGGAATTTTTCCGTCCAATCATTGTCCATTGTCCGCCACGTGCGTGATGGATGCAAGCGCTTGCTGACGGGCCGGCGCGGGGCCGGCAGGACCGGCGTCATGTGGTGCCCCCCGCGGCCGCCGACACCAGCACCATCTACGTGGTAACGCCGACCTACCGGCGCGTGGAGCAGGTGGCCGAGCTGACGCGCCAGGGGCAGACGCTGCTGACCGTGCCCGACATCGTCTGGATGGTGGTCGAGGACGCTGACGCATGCTCGCCGGTGGTGGCCGCCCTGCTCGACAGGTTCGGTAGGTCGACACGCAGCCGGGCGCGACGCCTTTGGACAGCCTGCGCGCGCGCGTGTTGTGGTGCCGGCTTCTGCGTGCCCCGGGTAGTTGCTTGAGTCCCCAGCCGTGGCACGTTTACAAACGGCCTCAGAGCTGAACGTTTCGTTTGCAGGCGTCTGTGCTCGTCGCGTAGTGACAGCATTGGGACAAGCCAGGGCGATCCGGCTTCAGAGAGTCATGCAGTCTCACCTGTGCGCATGTGGCCGAATTCCAGGGCGGATCACAGACCCCATAGGGGCCTTGGAGAGCAACTTTTGTGTTCGTTCTGTGGTTCCCGGCGCATCTCGGCACCTTCCCAGCCCAGGGGCGGGACGTCGGACGCTCCCGACCTGCGCCGCTGCGGCCCCATGAGGAGAGTGTGCTGCACCGCCTCCCCGTGCCGCAGGCATACCGTACGTGCATCTGGCCAGCGCCATGCCGGCCCGGTACCGAGGGCTCAGCATCCTGCCACGAGGCGTGTCCAACCGACGGGCGGCGCTCAAGTGGCTGCGCGCCGCCTCACCCCTCGGCGTGATGTACTTCCTGGACGACGACAACACCGTCGACATCCGGTGAGGCGTGCGAGGGCCGACGGCTGATTGGTCCTCTTCTCAGGCCTTGCCAGGTCACTGGTGCGAGGTGTGCTCGTCCGGGAGGCTTGGACTGATGCCGGCATGGAATGCACGCGTGGCTTGCACCTGCGCGCCGTCGATGTAGGAGAGGTGGGCGCGAGGGACCATGTTTTCAGTCTGGCCTCTTCGCTAGCGGACTGCTGCGCGTTCGTGGACTAACTTGGCGTGTTTGATGCCTTCGATTGCACTTGCCATACTGCCTCCTGCATAATGGGATTGACTTCGGAAGGCGCTTTTCCAAGTAGTGATCTTAGGGGTTCTGAGCATAATTTTAATTAGTATTTTTATCGTAATATAATCATAATTGTAATAGTAATTTGTTAGCAACATAACGTTTTACGCCCATTCCGACACATTTACTGTTTCGTGACTCAACGAATCCCAAATCAATGCATCCATCATTGGGTTATGGGTCCTTAGGTGATTTCATTGCACACATTGCACACATTTGTCGATTGCATGACTGCATTGATGGTTGCACATGTCGGTCGCCGCATCGAATGTATCTCATGCTATCAGGCTCTGCGACAGCCACCGTGCCGCTGTATTAGGTACCGTATTGGCCGCCGTATGAGCCCCGTATTAGTCACTGTTCTGCCACGATAAGAGCAGCCTGGGAGTGTGTCGGGGTCTGAGCAGCTGAAGTGTGCGGGAGGCCGGCGTCCGGTCCGGTCGGCTGACCTGCCCCCCCCCCCCCCCGTCCGCAGGCTGTTTGAGCAAATTCGCCACACGCAGAAGGTGTCCATGTTCCCGGTGGGCCTGATGGAGCAGTTTCTGGTCAGTTCGCCTGTCATCCGAGAGGTGAGATCTGCCGCCCCCGTCTGACCGAGCGCGGGGTCGGCTGCTGACCAGCGGCCGCGCACGGCGCCGCCCGGCCAGCCACGAGCTGCCGTGCGTCTGCCTGGGGGGGGGGGGGACAGTCTACTGAGGACGCAGTCTCTAGTGTGACTGCAGTGCGTTTGCTGGGGGGGGGGGGGACAGTCTACTGAGGACGCAGTCTCTAGTGTGACTGCAGTGCGTTTGCCGAGGGGGGGGGGGACAGTCCACAGAGGGCGCAGTCCCGTGTGGCCGCCGTGCGTCCGCCCGGGGAGACGGTCTACAGAGAGCGCCGCCTCTCGCGTGACTGCAGTGTGTTTGCCGGGGGAGGGGGGGGGGGGGGACAGTCCACAGGGGGCGCAGTCCCGTGTGGCCGCCGTGCGTCCGCCCGGGGAGACGGTCTACAGAGAGCGCCGCCTCTCGCGTGACTGCAGTAGGCAGCTCCGATGGCTTGTATAACGGCTTGAGCGGTTGTCTCTGTGTTTGGACTACACTAAGGCTTGTGTTGCTAATGTTGTTCACTGTCGATGTGTCCTTTACCGACCCTTGCAGCCGGATAAGGCACGATCGGCACTCACCCGTCCCGCTCGTGGATGAATCCTTCACGCGTGTTGGCAGAACTCGAGCATCATTGGGGTTTGACGCCCCAGGGACAGTAATCATCTCTGGCTTTCGGGAATGAACGGGCGTCGCAGCAGGTTTTATGAGTGCACATGGGGGATATACATTGTACAAGATGGTTTTGAAACCTGAGATACACACGCTCTGTTAAACACCGGGTTGGATCGTAACTTACTCTAGTGTTAGCCATTGTGATGGCAGAGGAAGCCGATTGTTGAAGGCTTACATGTCAGAGGAGACCGGTAATAACGCCGTCCAGAGCGTCACCTAGTGCCTGCGAGCCACACCTGTACCACACCGGGATTTGGGTGGGGGCGGCAGGGGTGGAGGTAGGTGGGTGTGGCCCTGTGCTGTGCTGATGGTGGATGATGGATGGATGCTGTGCTCAAAAAAGTCTTACTCACGGGTCAGCCACCAGATATGGCCGCGATGTTCACACGCGCTGAGCACACTCATGAAACGCGACAGGCTAACCAGCTGAGGCGCCCCCGAGCGGTGAGCACCTCTGGCACTCGCCGATTTAGCCACAGAGCATCGGATTTGTTTAACTGCCTGCCGCCCGACTTGCGCAATGTTCAGAGTCTAGGCCGCTTCAAGCGCCAACTTATGGAGTTGCTACTGAGTGAGGCGAATGTTGGCACATGAGTGGGTGCGTGTGTGAATTCTATTGTGTGTGATACTACGATATGAATGCAGTAATGTGATTCACCGAGATGATCCCTTGACCGATGTGTGATGTGTTAGGCTATTTTTATTAGGTTTCACATTGTCTCTTTTATGCCCGTTTTTATCAATGATGACGTGTAACTTCTAAAAGCCGCTGGATCTTGTGGAAAGTTACGAAATATATGGACATGGATGGACAGCTCATAGCTGAGTGCAACCAGATAACCATCGGGACCAGGTGACGGTTGTTACTGGTGATGATGACTGGCTCTCCGACTCAGAGGAGTATCAGGCGGCGGTTGTTACGGGTGATGATGACTGGCTGGCCGGCTCAGTGGAGGACCAGGCGGCGGCTGTTACCGGTGATATTGACTCTGGGCTGGCCTGCTCAGTGGAGGATCAGACGGATGACGCCTGCTCGCCTCCTCTTCGGCAGGGCAAAGTGACGGGCTTCTTCGACAGCTGGCCAGCCGGCCGCCAGTTCGCGGTGGACATGGCCGGCTTCGCCCTGAATCTGCGTGTTGTGCTCGCCAGCAGCGGCACCATGCCCTACCACCCCGGCTATGAAGAGGACAAGCTGCTGCAGAACCTCAACGTCAATGTACACGACATCGAACCACTGGCCAACCTGTGCACGGAGGTGCGCTGCCCGGGGCAGCCTGGCGTGCTGTGGGCGGGATGGGGCAGCACGGGGTGCCGTGGGCGGGACGGGGCAGTCCGGGGTGCCGTGGGCGGGGCGGGGCAACCCGGAGTGTTGTGGGCGGGACGGGGCCACCCGGGGTGCCGTGGGCGGGGTGGGGCAGCCCGGGGTGCCGTGGGCGGGACGTGGCAGCCCGGGGTGCCCTGGGCGGACGGGGCAACTCTGGGTGTTGCGGGCGGGGCGTAGCAGCCCTAGGTGCCGTGGACGAGACGGGGTTGTCCGTTGGGAAATGACCGGACGTTAGGTAATGACCCCGATGAATACCTCGATGTCTGTGCAGAGCCAATACCAGCTCTTCTCACAAAGAGCTGCTTTGTAATGAGGATAGAGTTTTTGTTGACTACTCGAAATGGTGAACGGAAATGTCATACAATATTCTTGTAGACCGATGGAATCGATGCACTTCTTAAACGCCTAATTGGCTCGGAGCTATGTGGCATTACCTAAGTGGCACGGATGACGTGTTTCGACTCTCAGCGCACGGGGCCGGTAATGAAATGTGGCATAGCCACCGCCGTAACGCGTTCTTGGCTGGCGTACTTCGCTGGCCCTCTAGTGCATTTGTGGTGTGTTTACCGCTGCCCTGAACTAGCTCCCGTTTGACGCTTTACGTGCCTGTCAGGTGCTGGTCTGGCACACAAAGACGAAGAAACACAAGCCCACCAATCTGCTTGCTGAAGTGAGAAGATACGAAAACAGCAACATCGGATCATTGTACGAACATATGCAGGCGACGGCGATGGCAGTCGCGTGAGGTGGTGTTCGCGAGACTCCGCGAGGGGTCGGCTGACTCGGGGAGGCGTGGCGCTGCCCGCATCGGACGGCGCCAACCCTCCGCGGCGGGGTCACTGGACGAACATACTGGTGCAACGGAGCGAACCAGAGCGCACGTGAAGGACTGTCATGGTGACAGGGTGATGCGAATCTAGTCCATGTGACTGTCTTGAGCTTGCTCATTTCTGGAAATGTCTTGCGGTGAATGTCTCTGTCTTCCCACGTAGAGCTTATCGCAAACGTCAGTTGCTTAGTTGAAGGCGAGCATCTATTGCACATGTGTATGGCTGGACATGCAATTTGACGCTGGTTGTATCAAAGCATGAAGATATACTCCAATCGTACTTCCATTTGGACGAAATCGATACTTTTGTGTGTTGTTGATACTTCTGTTTGCGAAGGCAACGTGCTTGTGCTCATGGCCTCGGCTGTGCGTCACTAGTACTCCATACCCGATGCTGCGTAAAAGAAACGTTGCCTTGTGCTGCTGGGGAGTGTAACTACATTGGTGCCACATACAAGTTTAGCCTTCGAGGTCATAATATAGCGTTTTTGAACTACTCCAGCGCCCGCTGCTTTTACTAACACAGTTGGACCACGGAGCTGAAGGAATTTCCAATGAGGATTAAGGTGTGTGTGCAAATGTACGAACATGTTGGGACTGGCGGCAAATAGGCCATCAGGCTCGCCTTGATATCGCAGCGGGGCAGCTTGGGGGCGTTGACTCGCCTCGACGGCCGTCAAGTGTGAGCATCAGCGGTAGCGACTTCGACCGAGTCGTGCCGGCGGCGTGCAGGCGTCGGCGCAGGTCGTCCCGCCAGGTCGCGGCAGTGCCTCGCAGCCCGCTGTGACGGGCAGAGGGAGCGCTGAGCTGCCTGCAGGGAGGTGAAAGGCAGCTGCGTTTTGAATATCCACCCCAGCAGCAGTGCTCAGACAGAGATAGCCCCATGACGTGCTCAAATATACTGACGAATATACTATATGACGTGCCCGGATACACTGGTCTCCCCGCGGCAATCGTCTCCGTCGCATTGTCGCGTCGGCCCGGCAGTGCCTCGTCTCTGGAGCGGAACGCAGACGGATGCAGTGGGAGGGCGCCTCTCGCGTCACGCGACAGGCGACAGAACCACGCAGGCCCGACAATGGACCGGGTTCCGTAAGACAGGTACCTCGCGGGTCACGTAGGCATGCAGGCAAACACGAACCTCCAGCGAGAGTGTGCCTTCCCGATGAAAGTGCAGAAGGCACCATTGTGTTCCATGGCTTGTAGATGAGTTAGTAGGACATCATGCCGAGCATTCTGATCGTTGAGCACGATAAAGGTACTCCAGTTTCTGTTGAGTCGCCTGTAAATCCAATAACCACGTCGCGGCTTTCCGTAATCGTCATACGGCCTTCCATAAATTGGCTTCTGTTGGGAAAATGTAGAAAGTTGGGCGTGCTTGCACGAGTAACGACATTATTTGCATAACAATTTTTACTAGCGCCGTGATGCTGCTTACTAACGAGTCGTGCTGATCTCAGCCTGCGTGACCGTGCTGCGTAGGATTACTGTGGGGATGATAACGGGGAAGCTGGAGTGCACAAGCGTAGGGACTTCATCTCACATTGGTGCGCTCGCCGGGCGTGAGCTATAGTTAGCAGCATTTGAGCCCAGGAGGCCTGCGCCTTCCGCCACTAAACCCTAACTGGGTTACAGACGTGCACGCAAGGCAGGGGACACTGAGAGATCAGCGAATTAAACGACACCCATTTGGTCCAGGTCGACCAGTGGTACACCAGGTCAAGTCTACCAGTGGTGTTCCTGGTCAGATATGCCTAGGGGTTAGGCAAGAGCAGAAGTAGACAAAGTGGTACTTCAGAACACAGGCAGTGCTTAGAACGACTAGTCAAAAATCGTGTTCTAAGTCAGATTCAGTGCAAAACAGGGACGGTGACGTGCACCTTTTTGGTGGGTGAGGACAGCAGTGCAGGCAGAGAGGGGACACAAGGGGCACGTGCCCCCTATGTTCCGAAAAGCCCCTAGAGGCCCTTTGTGGCCTCGGGACCAACGATTAAAGGCCTGATTTGAGGACCTGGAAGGCCGACCGGAATTCGTATTCAGGGGCCCCGACCCGCATTTGTTTAATTCACGTATTGTAATTTTGCTTAGATATGTGCTGTATCGTAGTAATGACTGGCAACTGCTACTTGTCTTATCCCTGAATGTTGGTGACCTGTGAAAATTGCGGCTCGCTGTTTAAAAAGCAGACGTGAAAGATGGAGTAGGATCGGTAGCCAGTTTAGAAATTGGTACTGATATTCGTTTTGATAACGTCGTGTAGCCAAAATATTAATCCATCTATCTCTTCATTCTTCTGGTCATTCTTTGAGGAATAATGCTATAAGCTCAGTGTGATCTATATGCATAATGTTTCTCGCAAATGCATTTCGCTACATAAGCTCGGCTGGAAGGCTGAAGGGCCCAAAAAGCTGGCTGCAGGTCACAAAGGACTCCGCTCGTAGGACCGTGATCTTAAATATCAGTAACAGGGCCTTTTGCACCGATTGGAAATCCCTGAGTCAGAGCGTTCCTCTGTTTAGGCCAGAGATCACCAACACCGAACAGTCGGCTCCGTGTTGGTCTGAGCTCTGGAGTCCATTTCCCAACCAGGGGCAAGACCAAGCACGCGATTTTCATTGGTCAGGGCCCCTGGAACAAAACGGTGCTCCTATATCGTTAGGGCCCCGCAGTGCCTAAAAGGGTATTCTGTGTCAACAACGGGCCTCGAGTCAGTCAGGGGAAGATCTGCTCAACAGAGGCGGGGACGGTACCCCGAACGACAGAGGGCCCCTTGAGTTAAACGGAGCTCCACTGACAATAAGAATAAATATGATAACTTATTATGATTGCTCACATTGAGGCAATGGAAAGGTCCTGTGCCAATTAGAGTCCCCAATACCGAACGGCGAGCACTCCAACGCAGTGGCGGCATGGGTTTGGGTGCATGGGGGCAGGGGGTTCTATGGGATTTTGAACTGAAATACCCATCTTGAAGATCATTTGGTGCATTTCACGGTTTGAGATTTTAAACCCTCCAGACTCTGAGCTACACGCCCGCGAAGACGGGGAGAGTTTTTCAGGTATAGTATTTCAAGGTCACCTTGCCGTTCTTGACGTTATAATGACGTCGCTCAAATCCTGCCATTGCATGAGCCATCCGGCGATCAAGGGCGTTAAAAATGTAATAATCGAGTCGTTCATATCTAGCGTTCATAAGCACGATTTCCAGATAAAACGGCCGTCAATAAGCTCTCAATCAACGTCATGCAAGGTACGGTGACGTAATACAACAATGGCGTATCGATGAGAGAGTGTAAATACCAATAGCCTTATTCCTCGTGTAGAATGGAATGTGTCGAAATGAATTAAAAAAAACGAACGAAGCCATCCCTTGTTTGTGTGAGAAGGTAGATTCTTTTGCAGAATCAACTCGTGACATAAATTACATCACAAGGCTTAAGCCTGCGCGCCCACAACCTCGGGCGCAAGGATAGCGACGACCTGCGTTGCAGTTTCCGTAAAACCGAGCGGCGCCGGCCACTGCTGGTAACGCTAGGCGGCGGGTGCCGTGCGTGCGAGAACAACCGTTGCAAGCTAATGGCTTCGAATAATTTTCAAAGCTAATTCGCGCCGTTTGAAGATGAGACTGGATGCATCTTTGTTGCAGCTTTGTGCTTGTCCTTTGGATAGGTGAACTGTTACAGCAAAACAAAAATAGAAATACTATTTCCACTCTTCCAGTTCCACCATCGGGTTCCGATAGCACTTTGTGGTACTGTAAAGGTTAATCCGTTCCTATCATCGATCTAAAAATTGCGCAGGCGAAATATACGCCCGAACTTCCCTAGAAATGTACGATTGTATCTTCTAAAGCGTTCAAAGGTACTTCTTTCAAATGTGTAATCATTTTCATCCATTCGTTAGCCACGGCTTAATGTCAGCCGCAGGGCCGATGCTGCCTGGTCTATAGAGGCTGCAACGCCTGGCATCGAGGTTTTTGCTGCTTAGATTTGCGAGCGCGCGTGCTCAAGACTGCGTTACATAGTTCGTATCACTAATAAATTCTGGCTGCATGTTGAACATTTCCGATCAAGCATGGCTTGACCATGGTGGTATGAACTGCTGACTCATTCCGCTCTACATTCGCGGACTTAATATTTCTGTACAGCTTAGGTCAAGATTCTAACAGAGCTTCTGAGTTATGTTGGCTTAGAAAGAGTCCACTGGCCGTTGTGAAATAAAGAGCGCCGGCGATTTACTGCATGCGGCCGTTCAACGTCCACCCCTCACTTGATAATTATAATATTCAGGCAGAATTGATCCCGTGGTGGCTTCCGGCTTTTATTTCAGTTATAGGTGGTAAGAATAAAAACATATCTAAGAAAAATACGCGCCCATTAACAGATGGGCCGTATGCATTGATTTCTGGGGACCTGTTATTATCAGGGGACTATCTTTGTCAACCCTGTGAACCCCTCCCCCTCTCCCTTGCCAAGGCTCTGGCTGCGCGCTTGGGTGGACGGGACGTAAAGTACAGACGGGTTACTAACCTACCCAATGGGCCCTCTCCAAGCCGGAATGGGTCCTAGGCCAGAATTCGCCTTCTGCGTACCAAAGTGTGCTCTTCGCAACCGATGATGAACCCTCTAAAGGTCAGAATGAGCCCTCAACAGGCCAGACTAGAACTTCTACAGTTCAGAATGGTAACACTGCAACTAATAATTGTCCTCTACAAGCCAAAATGGGTTCTCCAGTCAAAAATGGGCCCTCTTAAGGTCAGGATGTCACAATACGGGTCAGAATGGCCCTCTGGAGAATAAAATAGGCCCTCCAAAGTTAACAATGGCCCTTCTCCTGGTCAGATTGGCCCACTATGCACTAAAAATAAGAAAGAACCCTTGATAGGCTGTAACGGACTCTTTACTGGCCGGAATGGGCCTGCAGGCCTAAATGAGCCCATGTACTGGCCAGAATGGGCCCTCCATAGTCAACAATATGCCCTCTACATGTCAGAACGAGCCCTCTACAGACCGGCATAAGTCATCTGCAGGCCAGAATAAACCCTCGACAGGTCAGAATGAGCTTTTGCACGCTCATATAGTCCATTACAGCTCAGAATGGAACCCTTACATACCAGAATGGGCCCTCCATCAGCCCTTCAAGTTGAGGGCGCTATCCCTCCAGCTAAGTCCAAACTCAAAAACCGTTCGTTTAATTTTCTCAGAATATTTTCCAACAGATAGAGCTTATGCAATTTCATCAGCCGATCTGACTCGGTGGCCTCAGGTCACCATTTTTATCTTCAAAAACCGCTGAAACAACTACGAGGCATTGCAGCTAAGTCCGAACTCAGAAACCGCTCAACAGATTTGCTCGGAACCTTTACTAGAAGATAGCCAGCACATACGATTTCATCTACCGTTCTGATTATAGGCGCAACATTGAGCGTAAGCTTAGTGATATGCTAATTGGCACATCTGAGCAGCATGATATTCTAAAAAAAAAAATACCGAAAAGCCGGTTTGGTTCATGTTACCGATGCCGAGCTGCTCCTCCCGCCACCTCGAGGCGTGCGTGGCCAAATGGATTTGTGTCGCGGGGCAAAAAGGAATTTTGAGTTAAATTTCACCATCAATCGCAATGAGAGCATGAACAACGACATTTCCGCGGCATCCGGCCGGCATCGTCTCGGCATCTGTCAAAGCGTTGAGAAATTACGTGATTTGGTTATACACCAGAAGGCTGAACTGGACAGAACCCCTGACCGACAAAAATCGTACGCAGTCCATAAATCCTATGAGAATCTGCTTACAGGGGCCGGTGACAAAATCACCTAATATCAGCGCAAAACAAGAGACGATCAGTTATTCAACCAGGGGCTACATCTCTCAGGGCTACGGTGACGTCACTGCCAAGGCCATCAATCTGCTGCTGCTC